ATTATCAGGGTGTCTTTTTAACAATGTCGGTATTATAGAGCTTATCACTACTACTGAGAAATTTGTGTAATTATTGTCACATCAGCTAACCTGTGATGTTATTTGGCAATTTGAAACAATATCATAACTTTTCGCATAGGTGACGTATAATGTATCTAATGTATTTTGTAACTTAATCGCTACCTCATTCACAATGCCTATAAGGACGTGGGACACGTCCTTCTTCACAGAAAGGGCGTATGTCGTAGGCACTTTGATGGGGTATGGGTTTTATCGGGAAATATAGACATGTTTGTATATACTCTGAGTTAAGTTAATCACAGTGCTGACAATATACATGAAATATCAGCAGCTTATTATCATGACCATCAGCACAGCCATGTGCAGATCCGCTGCCTGCGTGTAATTAACCTTAATGAACCTAAGAGTATGGCCGGCTGGCCACGGAAGTTTAACATTGTGGATGAGGTGCATGCTGGATACTGCAGGTTGACCATACATGTATCATAATACGATACAGGACAGCCTGGCAGTCAGTATAGTATATAGACAATGAATTCTTAATGTAACGGGACTTGACCCTCGGACAGGGGCTAGGCAGATGGGCTGACGATCGCCTCTGTGATGCTGTCTGGCCGTTGCTGCACTATCATGTAATTACATACTTAGCTGACGAATTAAGTGTTGTGGACCCACTGATGGACTTTTGTGTTTGAAGAGACAATATCCCCCAAAACGCGTTAACCAGCCCGGGATACTTTGTTAAAATATTGAGTATAGTATGTCTTATAACATATGACTAAAACGCGACACGCAACACGCGACACGCGACAATGCGACATATTATATGTCGCGTTGTCGCGCGTCGCGTTTTCGCCCTTTTCGATTACCGGTGCGCATGTGTAGAAAGTCAATTAGTCTACGCATGCGCAGACAATGTTATTCTCTATTTCAGACTTCACTGGTCTTTTGTTACCTCCAATGGTTTTTACAATGAAGTTGTGCTCGTAATGGCAATGGGGGCTGCTTTTCTTGAACTTAATGGAAATCTTTCATTGTTGCTTTGAAAATTATTGTATATATTGTAAATGTATTTGGCCAATCAAGTGTTTTTTAGCAGCAAGACAAATCATAAGCGCTACTATTCATTGTAATCACCCACACGGTGGCCCTGTCATTCAAGGCGAGGCAATTTGCTATGCAGGGTTGTGTCTCTTAGTCACACTAGATAACTATGATCATAGGTTCGAATCCCAGCACCATACACATTCATCACTTTGAACATTTCACCTATATCAAGCTCACAGGTTGTGAAAAAACTCAAATATTGTTAAAATTCAGGCCACATCGGCATAAACATCAGGTGAAGTCCCCCAATGGGTCACTATGTTCGACAGTGTGGCTCCTGATAGAGTTTCTTGGTACAGTTGACGCTGATGAATTTGTCCGACATCTGCCTCTGTTCAACCAGCAGTGGATGGATACCAGGTAGAATGAGATGGTAATATCACTTATTCATCCAGCACCTCAAAGACAGTTTAGGTCGGCTTTGAACGTGATATTCTTCTTGGGAAAACGCCATACAAATGGACTGTTATCATTATGATATTAGAATCGATGAAATCGCTTAGCAGAGTTGCGTACCCTTGGAGTGGCAGAATCCAACCCTCCCTCTCTCACTCCGCTCCGCTCCACTCCTCTCAGATCTTCTCCAACCCGCACCTCCTCTCCTCTCCGCTCCACTCCTCCCCTCTCCTCTCCTCTCCGCTCCTCTCCTCCCCTCTCCTCTCCTCTCCTCTCCGCACCTCTCCTCTCCGCTCCTCTCCTCTCCTCTCCGCACCTCTCCTCTCCGCTCCGCTCCTCCCCTCTACACTCTTCTCCTGTCCGCTCCACTCCACTGTCACTCCTCACTCACTCACTCACTCAAGGTTTAGGGAACTTGGTAAATTAGCAAGATATTTCATTACAATAATGTGTTTTGTCTGTTTTTCAATTCTATTTGAATCCTATATTATTTATAATAATAATAATATACCAAGCGATACACATGTACTTGTATCGTTTCAAACATACACCTACTCAATCATAATAATTTTCAGCAAAATGGCCAGTTTCAACAAATCCATTCCATTAACCAAGAACTCTTAACCCACAGACTTCACGGCCACAATTATTATTACTCGATCCCTGTGTATCTTATAGCCCTTTTTAAAACATCTAAACATAATCATCCTTGTAACAGTTTTGACATTCCACGGTAACTAATAAAACGCGACACGAGGCAATGCAACAACGCGACATTTTGATGAAATGTCGCGTTGTCGCGCGTCGCGTGTCGCGCTTTGTTCAAATATTGAGTATAGTATGTATTATACCGTATTTGACTAAAACGCGACACGCGACAATGCGACAACGCTACATTTTGATGAAATGTCGCGTTGTCGCATTGTCGCGTGTCGCGCTTTGTTAAAATATTGATTATAGTATGCATTATATAACCACAGGAGTTCGAATCACTGTTTGGACAATACAAATAAAAGTCTAGACTTTTGCAATTGTATATTGTTGTTTTTTATGTTATGATTAACTTATATTTCAAATTTGAACGAGATCGGTGAAGAAATGAATTTTTAAGAAAATTCTACCGCTACACTCATTACATACAATACTCAAAGGGTGACACTGGCGATGCTCAAAACCTTATCGAAAACCGGACAGCCCGACTATTTTAACGTGCGGTTCAATCAAAACTTGCGTTTTTCACCAAAAAATGTTTTGGGCTTGTATTCTTTTACCTTTCTGCTCATTGTATTCAATTTGTCTACCCGCTTTTGATTTTGAACACTGACCCTCGCATTAGCACTACCCTCTGCTTTGAACAAATGTCTGGCCTCTCTTCGGTAAACATCGACAGTTTCCGTAAATCTTTCCGTGTACGAAAACGTTATTTATGCAGGTTCGAGACACGAAAATCGTTACAATAACAAAGACCCCATTTTCAACACCGACATGTACGTTGATATTTCCTGCCATCTCGCTATTGTGTCAAAATCGTACACATAAAACATGGTTCTGAACGACCACATTGATTGAATATAGTTAGCATCTTTATTTTAACATAGTTGATGACGTATAATTCGATGATTTGGTCCCAGTTTCTCCTGTTGTATGCTGGAAATAAACTGAACACCCAGTAATAGTAACTAGAAATTTGTTGTTTACAATCAGCTCACCTTGTTTACCGAGTCATGGGTAATAAGTGAACAAATTTCTGTATACGTTTGTATAATATATTCCAGAACGTATGTATTTAATGATACCTACATTACTATAATGTAAGTATGAACATGCCGTACAGAGGCATGATGTCGACACCAGAAAGGTGTATATGTTATCAGGTGTTTGTGTTGACATAGTAAGTAAACAAATCTAAGTAGTCAGAAATACATTCTTCACTGGGTCGCCGGTCTGGACGTACAAAACGTTTCAAATATCTACACCGGAGATACCAACAGGTAGGGAACTTGAACTTCATCTTGATGTTTTTGATCGTGAAATATATTTTGTTTTATTGACATTCAAGAGATATACAGTGTGTGTTTAGAAACTTGATGTGGTTCTGCTGTTGAGTAGGCACCACTCAGAATTACATTTATTTGGATTTGGTTTCAAGCTTATAAGTTACTCTTCCAAATTGAGGTGTACAACATACTTTTTTTCAGTTTAAGGCCGAATTGTGTTCATTGTGATATATACTCTTCAATAAAAGAAACTTGACATAGGAAAAAAAATGAATTTTAGGAAAATGTTTAACACAAACCAATCCATGCTGAATCCATACAGGAGACTATCTGGTGTATGTTCATGTTTGGTAGAAGCGTCATGGTCGATTTCTGTACAAAAAGAATATACATAATTCGGAAAATATATATATATTTGTCTATACAGAGGCGGGGGTCATCTGTCGAGAGGGCCTGATTGAGAGAGATAGTAACACCTTTATTTGTCTATACAGAGGTGGAGGTCATCTGTCGAGAGGGTCTGATGGAGAGAGATAGTAACACCTGTATTTGTCTATACAGAGGCGGGGGTCATCTGTCGAGAGGGCCTGACTGAGAGAGATAGTAACACCTGTATTTGTCTATAGAGAGGTGGAGGTCACCTGTCGAGAGGGCCTGATTGAGAAAGATAGTAACACCTGTATTTGTCTATACAGAGGTGGAGGTCATCTGTCGAGAGGGCCTGATTGAGAGAGATAGCAACACCTGTATTTGTCTATAGAGAGGTGGAGGTCACCTGTCGAGAGGGCCTGATTGAGAAAGATAGTAACACCTGTATTTGTCTATACAGAGGTGGAGGTCACCTGTCGAGAGAGTCTGATTGAGAGAGATAGTAACACCTGTATTTGTCTATACAGAGGTGGAGGTCATCTGTCGAGAGGGCCTGACTGAGAGAGATAGTAACAACTGTATTTGTCTATAGAGAGGTGGAGGTCCTCTGTCGAGAGGGCTTGATTGAGAGAGATAGTAACAACTGTATTTGTCTATACAGAGGTGGAGGTCATCTGTCGAGAGAGTCTGATTGAGAGAGATAGTAACACCTGTATTTGTCTATACAGAGGTGGAGGTCATCTGTCGAGAGGGCCTGATTGAGAGAGATAGTAACACCAGTATTTGTCTATACAGAGGTGGAGGTCATCTTTAGAGAGGGCCTGATGGAGAGAGATAGTAACACCTGTATTTGTCTATACAGAGTCGGGGGTCATCTGTCGAGAGGGCCTGATGGAGAGAGATAGTAACACCAGTATTTGTCTATAGAGAGGTGGAGGTCATCTGCAGAGAGGGCCTGATGGAGAGAGACAGTAACACCTGTATTTGTCTATACAGAGGTGGAGGTCATCTGTCGAGAGGGCCTGATTGAGAGAGATAGTAACAACTGTATTTGTCTATAGAGAGGTGGAGGTCATCCGTAGAGAGGGCCTGATTGAGAGAGATAGTAACACCTGTATTTGTCTATAGAGAGGTGGAGGTCATCTGTCGAGAGGGCCAGATTGAGAGAGATAGTAACACCTGTATTTGTCTATACAGAGGTGGAGGTCATCTGTCGAGAGGGCCAGATTGAGAGAGAGTGCACGAAGGATGACCTGGAAGACAATGGATTCAGCTGTGATGGTATGTACAGTGGTATTACATCTCACCGGGCGCTGGACTTCGTAAGTTATGTCATCAATATTTTGTTTGAATGAATAGATATGCAGGTGTCCTTGTTTCCACTTTGTGTTCATCTGATGAAGCAGTGTTAGAAATGATACCAACGTTATTTTAATTGAAGACATGTAACGTAAGTCACTTTAACAAGTTTAGAGATACACTTTGTCCTTTGCCAGTAAGAAACCAAGTTGGTTATATTCGACATTGGAACATGAAGCGCCTTCAGTAGCTTTCTAAACAAGACTGCATCTAAAAAAACAATAGCCTATATTCATAACACCTGCTGCAGCAGTATGATGAAGTAGGTGCAGCTGACGGCCAGTGTTGTAGTGTATCAGACCATCTCCGTAACTTCATTGTATATTTCTACTGTGAGAAGAAGCAACAGAATGCTACTAAATTGTACCCCCCCCCCCTTACCCCCTGTACTATGATGCCCTCGAATTAATTAAACTGCCCTCCCATGAACAGCTGAAGTACGTCTTTGCATGTACCTAAAGAGCAACACGACGTGCAGCAACTTTGTTGCATAATGACTGCAGAAGTGATTTGCTTCACAATATCTAATCAGCAAAGTAAATGTTCCTGAATCATCTAACGTCAGCAACCCCTGCTCCCCTGGCAACGTCTGTGACCGCGCCCACCCCTCTGACTCCACCAAGTTCATCCACTGCGACTCCCAGGGCAACATGTATGTGACACAATGTCCCGGCAAAACTCAGTACAACCCTGACGCAATCAGCTGTGGGTCTGAACCAGTCCAGGGAGGGGTGTCCTGTGACGTATCCAATCGTTGCACACAAAAAAATATTGCCAATGGTAAATTCTACTTCCCCTACCCTCCCAACCCCTCCAAGTACATCCAGTGTGATGCCTCCGGGAATTCGTGGATCAGGGACTGCCCCGCTGATCTGGTGTGGAACTCTGCTCTCAACACTTGCTACTACAGGATGGGATCAGCTCAGCAGCCGGCACAGGAACCGGTAAAGGAACCCTCTGGCCATACTACCAGTGTCCCCCCACCTGCAGCTACGACCGACGCAAACCCTTGCAACAGCAACAACAACGGTCAAATATTCCCGCACACAGACCGCACCAAGTACATCACGTGTACAAACAACGGCGTTGCCGTTGTCCAGTCGTGTGCGCCGCCCGTCGTGTACTACGACACCATCAAGACATGCAACTGGGCTTAGCTGGCAATGTTTGAACCCACGAGTAACCCTTCAGTTCTGTCAATTAACGTAATCATCTAACATTCTACTGTTCACCATCAAACACAGATTTTGTGAATAAATATAAATCCATTATCTGTAAGTGTATTCCTATTTTTTTTAATACACAATCATGGAAATATGTTCCTGTTGCTATATAATACTACATAGGCCTACTACCCTATATATTGAATATATAGGAGTTTAGGCCAAGAATCATATACATATGTTATCCCCTATATATTGAATATATAGGAGTTTAGGCCAACAATTATGTACATATATACATGTACTCCCCTATATCTTGAATATATAGGAGTTTAGGCCAACAATCATGTACATATATACTCCCCTATATATTGAATATATAGGAGTTTAGGCCAACAATCATATACATATATACTCCCCTATATATTGAACATACAGGAGTTTAGGCCAACAATTATGTACATATATACTCCCCTATATATTGAATATATAGGTGTTTAGACTCCAACAATATATACATATATACTCCCTATATATTGAATATATAGGAGCCAACAATCATATATATATATACTCCCTATATATTGAATATATAGGAGTTTAGGCCAACAATCATGTACATATATACTCCCCTATATATTGAATATATAGGAGTTTAGGCCAACAATCATGTACATATATACTCCCCTATATATTAAATATATAGGAGTTTAGGCCAACAATCATGTACATATATACTCCCCTATATATTGAATATATAGGAGTTTAGGCCAACAATCATGTACATATATACTCCCCTATATATTGAATATATAGGAGTTTAGGCCAACAATCATGTACATATATACTCCCCTATATATCGAATATATAGGAGTTTAGGCCAACAATTATGTACATATATACTCCCCTATATATTGAATATATAGGAGTTTAGGCCAACAATCATGTACATATATACTCCCCTATATATTGAATATATAGGAGTTTATGCCAACAATCATGTACATATATACTCCCCTATATATTGAATATATAGGAGTTTAGGCCAACAATCATATACATATATACTCCCCTATATCTTGAATATATAGGAGTTTATGCCAACAATCATGTACATATATACTCCCCTATATATTAAATATATAGGAGTTTAGGCCAACAATCATGTACATATATACTCCCCTATATATTGAATATATAGGAGTTTAGGCCAACAATCATGTACATATATACTCCCCTATATATTGAATATATAGGAGTTTAGGCCAACAATTATGTACATATATACTCCCCTATATATTGAATATATAGGAGTTTAGGCCAACAATCATGTACATATATACTCCCCTATATATTGAATATATAGGAGTTTAGGCCAACAATCATGTACATATATACTCCCCTATATATTGAATATATAGGAGTTTAGGCCAACAATTATGTACATATATACATGTACTCCCCTATATATTGAATATATAGGAGTTTAGGCCAACAATCATATACATATATACTCCCCTATATATTGAATATATAGGAGTTTATGCCAACAATCATGTACATATATACTCCCCTATATATTAAATATATAGGAGTTTAGGCAATGAAGCAATCATACGAATATATACTGCCTCTATATAATGAACGTATGGGAGTTTAGGCCAGCAATTGCGAAGTAAGAAGAGCTGTGCGTATCAGGACACTTGTTCTGCAAGGTCTAGACTTGGATATGTGCTCGCTCGTCTATCATTACAGCTGTACTGCCGTAGGACGGACATACACACATACCAACAGGCGCAGTGCGTAGTTATCGTAGGTAACGTTACGTAATTGTGCGGGTCACTGATTGGCTGTTCAAGTCATATGATGCACCATGTAGATAGAATCTTGTATGAGTGAGTGAATAAACGTAACACTGGCAATATTTCGGCCATGGTGTGAGGGTATTGTACGAATAGATATGGGCCTATATACATAACGAGCTATACAGGATCTCTGTCAAATCAGACTCACTTTTCACTACATATTTTATAATGAAACAGCTTTTAAATCTCGATAACTTGTTGTTGCCATAAGAAGAATTAATTGAAGAGGTGAAGGTCGAATTTCACATGTAAATGTTATGTTCTGACATGTTCACTCGGATCTGTTGTTTATGCACGTGCATGCTCAGTTTGATAAACTTGGCCCAGACATTAGGTTGAACTTCTAGTCTATTGATTGACTTTATACAATAAAGCGCTGATTTATCCACGAAGAACAGTCTCCATGTTTGTATGACAAAACAGGATGATTTCATCTTTCCAATACTTGACTTTCCCTTCATGTTGAACAATATTCCAACAGCACTAGCCTTTTGTGCTCCCATTTCACAACATTTGATGTACATGTGAGCATGTACAATTATCAATATTTCCAACTCGAAAATAGTTTGATAAAGTTTAACACTTCAGGTCTAGGTAAAGCTTTCCAATTGTACACATCAGTAAGAAAAGTTCATTTCCGACGCACTTCTTTATTTTGACTTGTACCATACTATCCCGTCTTTTCTTTTCCGAGATGAACAGTTGACTAGCCTTAACATAAATATGGCATTATTCATACCTGATGATTCATGTTTATGATATATACTAAGCAGTAACAGAAATGTCAGTTTGGAATTTTCCTTCGCAGTAACGGATAACTGTAAACTCACTTAATGGTTTGATTGTATATTTTTGACAACATCTCCAACTGTACCTGAGCAAAGACATTCCTTCCCAAACTCAGAATTGAACCCAGGAAATGGTCTCAAAAACGCAACCTGATCTCGGAGATGGTACGGTGTTCTCCATGTTTTTCATGCAAATCATGCTGCACGTGCTGTTCACAAGGACCAGCCCTATAAAATGCAAACGGAACCTGGTTGAAACATTCACATTACAACGTCAGCAGGATGCCGCGACTCACGATAGCTCAGAGGAACCAGGCGCTAGGAAGACTTTAAGCTGGCCACACTGCACAAGCCGTTGCCAATCACTTCCAGGTCAACGTTCGGACCATCTACAGGCTGCAGCAACGTTTCCGGGCCACCAACACCACAAATGATCGCCCCCGTACTGACAGACCAAGGGTGACCACAAGACGACAAGACCGCCATGTTGTGCGACAGCATGTACAGAATCCCTTCATGTAGGCATCCGAAACAGCACGCCAGACAGTGGGAACACACGGAAGACCAATCAGTACTGATACAGTACGCCGACGTCTTAACAGCGGGAACCTCCACTGCCGTAGACCTTACCGTGGACCTATCCTCACCCCTCGTCATCGGCGTGAACGTCTACAGTTTGCCCTACAACACCAAAACTGGCGATACAGGCAATGGAGAACTGTTCTGTTCACAGAGTCGGTAATGCGTATCAACTGCAGATGGCAGAACAGGAATATGGCGACGACGTGGCCAGCGTTACTCAGACCAATGTGTTATGGAAATAGACTCATGGGGAGGTGCAAGCATCATGGTATGGGTTGGAATAGGCCTGAACCAGAGAGTGGGTCCTGTGGTGTTCCAGAACTTTGGTCCAGGGAGAGAAGGCGGCATCACAGCGGTGCACTACATCGACCAAGGTCTCAGGCCCCACGTCATACCACATTTCGCATGTCACCGTAACAACATTTTCCAGCATGATAACGCCCGGGCCCATACTGCCAGAGCTACACACGACTTCCTACAGCAGAACGGTGCCAACATTATGCAGTCGCCAGCCCTTAGTCCTGATTAAAACCCAATTGAACATCTTTGGGATGAAATTCAGAGGAGCCTGAATAATGTCATACCAAGGCCGAACACAGCTGATTTATTGAGTCAGGCCTTTCTCAGAGTGTGGTTCCAGGTGCCAATGGCCTTCATCAATTGATTGGTGCACTCCATGCATAGACGCAGTGCTGCAGTTATTGACGCTCGTGGTCACACTAGATACCGAAGTCAAGAGTCTGAATGGCCTGCAAACGTTCACGTAATGTATTGGAATTGTGCTGTGTTATTCATTGATGTGTCAAGATATTGTACCCAAAAAATGTTTTTGATCCGCTTATTATGTCCATTTCTATAATGCTTTGATTACAGTGCCTATCTAAGTTTGAATTCGTTCAGGCGTTCAGAGTATAGTATAGGCGTACTAATATTTGTACAATCAAGAGATTTCTTAAGGATGTACGCAGAAATGTGGTTGAATTGAATTGTGTGTGGAAGTCGCGGTACCTGAGGGGGTTAGATCGCTGACTTTGTGTGCTGGGGCCAAGATGCCTTAGTGTGAGAGTGTGGGTTCGTATCCCGTATTCGACTCCACCAAGAGAGGGTCTCGAAACTGTACTTTCGTCAGAAACTGTAATTCAAAATATAACACAATAGCTGATATTGATTCTATACTATGACATGTACATAGTGTAATAGCTGATAGTGACTCTATATCACGACACGTACATAGTGTAATAGCTGATAGTGACTCTATATCACGACACGTACATATGTGTAACAGCTGATAGTGACTCTATACCACGACACGTACATAGTTTAGTAAGTGATAGTGACTCTTTATCACGACACGTACATATGTGTAATAGCGGATCGTGACTCTATATGACGACACGTACATTTGTGTAATAGCTGATACTGATTCTATATCACGACACGTATATATGTGTAATAGCTGACAGTGACTATATCACGACACGTACATAGTGTAATAACTGATAGTGACTCTATATCACGACACGTACATATGTGTAATAGCAGAGAGAGACTATATCACGACACGTACATAGTGTGATAACTGATAGTGACTCTATATCACGACACGTACATATGTGTAATAGCAGAGAGAGACTCTATATGACGACACGTACATATGTGTAATTGCTGATAGTGACTCTATATCACGACACGTACATATCTGTAATAGCTGATAGTGACTCTATATCACGAAACGTACATATGTGTAATAGCTGATAGTGACTCTATATCACGACACGTACTTAGTGTAATAGCTGTGAGCGACTGTATTTCACGACACGTACATATCTGTAATAGCTGATAGTGACTCTATATCACGACACGTACATATGTGTA